GCCCCCCCCCCCCCCCCCCCCAGCCCGATCTAAACCAAAGTTACATGCAGGCTTGCATGCATGCCCATCAGCCCCCTCGAGCGAAATAGCCCCACTACACGCACCTCGCTCTGTCTGTCTACACCCCTTCAACGAAAAATGCTAAGATACCAGAAGTTAAAAATTCCTCTCACTGGAGACTACACAAACAGCAAACCCAATGCGTCCCCACTTCATCACGCAAATGTATACACAAGGAAAACGTCAGCTAGCCAGCTACCTGGCTAGCGAGCTTGCCAGAGCGGCATTTCCCCCCACCGACACAAAGTTGCCGAGGTCTCATGGCTACCAGCAGGCAACTAAGTGAACATACACGCCTCTAACAACGAATGTTCTGCGCTCTAAAGAGCCTCTTGCTGCCACGTATAGAGCCAGCTAGCTGCAACACGAAGCGGCTAGCTGGCTAGCCTAGCGGCCGTATAGTCCTAATGTCAGAATTATATCTGGTGCAAGGTGCTGCTCGAGGCCTGTGAGTCCTCGGATTCCTGCTCGAGCTTGACGGCTGCCTCCAAGTTTTCTAGCTCCCTCGCCCTTTTGCTTTGCTGCTGTTCCTGCTCCTGGAGCAGCTGTTGCTGCTGCAGCTGCTGCTGCACGTACTGCTGCTTATGATGGCCCATTGTAGGGGAGGCGGAACGACCCCTGTAAGAGCCCTCTCTCTGTCTTGATTCCCACATCCGTGCTGTCTGTACACTTGGAGCGGCGATGGCTCCTTGCACCTGGGGGCCTGCGACCGTGGAAGAGTTGAAAAATACCAGAGGAGTGCGGCATCTAGGCGGTTGACTGTGACTGAGCTCTCTTGCAACGAGGTGATGGTCGTCAACAAGATAGCGTCTCCTGCTTGTCTCTACTGCGCCCATCTCCAAGTCTCCTCCCATAATCTCTTGAGCTGCAACTGCCCCAAAGACGGCCGCCCCTCCCCCCGCCACAGCGCCTCCTCCTACGGCACCAGGCATGGTTTCTTCATGTCCTTCTTCATGTCCCGCCGTGCTGCTGATATCCTCCTGGTCTGCTGCAGCCCCGCCCGCGTGTGTGGCCTCGTCGAAATCTCTTGTGGGGCTCGAGAAGGCCCCTGCCTCCCCTGCAAGGTCTCCACCTCCCGCTGGATCCTGCTGATTAGCTGTGGAGGTGGATGCACCCTGTTTCAGGCTCTTCAGTCTCCTCCCGCGTTGTCTTCGTGCATAGAACCCGCAACTCGAGAGCCCCAGCAGCAGCAACACCCCGCTCGCTATACCCACAGCGAGGTACAGGTTAGGGCTGGATGTACCTTCTTCTCGCTCCTCTTCCTTTCCTGCTCCTTGCTCCTCTTCTTGTCTTTCTTCTTCTTGAGGCTCGTCCAAACCATCGCCTTCCCCGCTCGTGCCGCTGCTGTCTCCCTTCCCTGCAGCAGCACCTGCTTCTGCAGCAATAGATGAGCTTGCTGTGTCCTCTGTGCTTTCAGGCGTCAAGTACTGCTTCGCTGCCGCACCGTAGGAAGCTGCTGCCACCGCGGGGGGGGCCTCATTTCCCAGATTCCTAAGTGCCTCCAGGTGTTGAAGACGCGAATCCAAGCCGGCCTTTGCATCACCTGCCCGTGTCTTGAGGTCCGCTGACGTCTGTTGTAAATCGCTCAAAGATACAACCGCAGGAGCAGCCTTGCTGCTGGGGCTGGTGCTCTTATCAGCAGCAACACTTAGCCGACGGGAGGTCCCGCCGGCAGACGCATGTGTCGTCTGCGAATCTGGCGCTTCGCTGCTGCTGCTGCTCCCTGGGGTCACTATCTTGTTGCTCTCAGAGAACGCCTTCAGTTCATCCAAGCTACTGCTTACGCGGCTCGCACAAACCTCCACGTCTTCCGCCTCGCCCCTCAAGAACTCGCCCAACTGCCGCGCTCGGCCTTCACCAGCAGCAAACGCGTCTGCAGCTGCAGCTGCAGCAGCAGCAGCGGAATCCGCGTCAGGCCCCTCCCCTGTTCGAAAAAACACACGATACATGCAGCAGAGTGCTCCCTATGCATTTCACAAGCACCCAGCATTCACCTCCAGTTGGGAACAACTGCACCGTCCCTCTGTTGCAACAACAGCAGCAAGAAATACAACAATAGCAACACCACCCCCTGCAACCGCAACAGCAAGAAGGGTAGCATGGTTTCTCCTTACCTTCTGCAGTCTGTTTCTGTCTCGCAGCATGCAGATTTTCTGCTGCCTGTTGTGTTTGGAGCACAAGAGCTTCAAACGCCGGGACTCCGAGCTTCATTATATTTTCGAGCCTACTATCTGCATGACTGAGCAGCTGTCTCAACTGTTTTAGCACATCCTCCAGCATTTGCTCAAGGGCGCCGTCGCCTCCCTCCTGGTCTCTGAACTTCTGAAGCTCCTTCTCCAGTTGGTGACCCTTCTTGGCCACATCTTCTGCTGCAGCGTCTGCATCCTGGAGAACTGTCTGGAGCTCCTGCGCCCCCATATCGCTGATACCCAGAGGCCCGTCTCCGACCACTGCACGCAGGCTTGCTAAACGGACGTTCGCTGCTGCTTTCTGTGCCTCACGCTGTGCCTTCATACATGCCTCTTCTTGCTTCTTCAACTCCCCTCCTAGAGCTACAAGGTGCACAACGCGCCTCTGCAGTGTCTCCGACAGCCCTCCGCTCGATGGCCGCTGCACAGGACCACCCCCCTGTTTGCTGCTGCTGCTGCTTTCTTTGAGGCGGTCTTGAATGGAGTTTCTCTTCAAAGCGGCCTTCAGCTCTTTCACATCAACACTTAGAGTCCCCTGCACCTTTTGCATTTGCGCCTTCAGCTCCTTTGCCCTCTCTAAGTGTTGCTCACCGTGTGTAAGATGCTCACTGGCTTTGCGGCCATATCGGTTGATCACTTCCTTGGAAGAAAGGCCCTCTTCTACGCTAGTTCCCTCCTTAGCCGGCTTTGCTTGCGGCTGCTGCTGCTGCTGCTGCTGCAACTTCTTCCCTATCTCAGCCAGCGCAGCCTTCGTCTCTTCCACCTGCTGGTGCACATCTTGCCTTTGACTTGCAAACCGGGATGCTATCTTGCTGGCAGATTCTGCACGTTTCTGGGCTGCTGCCGCTTCTGCTGCTGCAGCGGCTGCTGCAGCAGCAGCACCGGCAGCCTCCAATCGTTGGTGCTCTTTCACTAGGCCATCCTGTTGCCGTCTGAACGCCTCTGCCACCTCCTGCACCTTCTTCTCCAGCTTTTTCAAATCCTCAATGGTCTGCCCTGCCTCACCGTAGAAGTCTTCCGCTTGGCGCTCTGCACTGCGGAGGGCAGCAGCAGCCCTTAGAGCAGCAGACCGAGCGTCATCCATATAGCGCTCTGCTGCTGCACGTCGGGAGTCGAACTTGTAGTGTTTCTCGAGGTCAGACCACTGGGCCTGACCACTGGTCACTTTGTTCTGGGCCTCCTCAATGTCCTCCATCAACATCTTATTGAACTGATCGGCAGCTTTCCGAGCGGCTGCTGCCTCCTCCGTGCGAGCAAGTAGCGCAGCATTCAACATCCTGTGTTGGTGCGCTGCTTGTCGCACCCACGCGTCTCCTTCGCTGATTGCGGTAGAGTATTGGCTTAAGGTGCGGCCGAGCTGGCGGCTGACTTCTTCTTTCACAGCAGCAATGGCATCGGAAGCCTGCGTCGCCTTGTGCTTCAGTTTTTTCTGCAGGTGCTCCCCTCGCGTCCGCAAACCCTCAGCAGCAGATACTCCTCGCGCCTTTAAACTCTCGCTCTGCACCGATGCGACCATGGAATCCACTGCCTGCACCCTCAGACTTAAGTCTGCCAGCAGCGCCTTCGCCGCCTCTACAGCCTCCTCCACCCTCAAGGACATATCGCCGGCTCGCTGCAGCAGCTGCTGCAGCGTCAGGCTGTCATGCGCTGCTTCCGCCGCCTGAGCGTCCTTACGGATCTGCCCCGAGGCCAAACCCAAGCCCACAATAGTTCTAAGCTCATCTTCAGTCAGCTGGAGTGTCTTTTCGGCTTCTTCAACGAGTTGCAGCAGCGTTCGTCTCTGTTTCAACTCCTCCATGCCTTCCTGGAAAGACTTTGTCAGCGCCGCTAGTTGCTCCCCTGCTCGCTTGATGTGCCGCACTGATGACTCCATCTCCGCCCCGCTACTAGCCACCAAGTGAGACAGCTGCAGCTCCATATTCCGCATCGCCTTCCTTACTCCTGCTGCTTCAGGCCCCATACCCTCCACCATCTGTGAAGCCAAGCGCAGCAGGCGACCCGCCTCAGTTGTCGATTTAACGACTGCCCCGTCCGCGAGCTGTATAGACTCCGCCATCTGCAAACACAATACCAATACCATGTACATGACGACAACATGCATCGACAGCACAACAACTACTGGTATCAAAAGCCATGACAGTTGTCGTAGCACTAGCCGTGGCAAGTGTAGCGACGGCAGCAGAGGCTTCACCAGCAGCAGCAGCAGGTGCAGTAACTACAGCAAAGTATGCGCAACAGCAGCAGATGTTTCTGCTGCCCCGCAACCCTCTATCTGCTTGTGTGATCGCCTCTAAGCAGCATCAACCCCCAAGATGGCTCCCCATGTGCTACAAGTCTCTATAATGTTTCTTATATTCTCTGCATGCACTCGAAAATTGCCAGTATGGGGGGGAGACTGCCTGCTCGTAGCACTCACCTTCTTCGCCGCTTCCAACTCGGCCTTCGCCTGAGCCTCAAACTGTGCAAGAGACTTGAGCTTTTCTGCAGACAGGCCTCTCTTCAGCAACTCCAATGTATGCGTGGACTTGGCCTCAATCGCGTCCACCTCCTCCCGCAGCCTTGGCCCCAAGGCCTTCAAAACCTCAACCATCTGCTCCACCTTCTCCACTATCGCCTTCGCGTCCCGAAGAGGATCTGCAGAAGCAGAAGCACCAGGAGCAGCCAAACACAATCCTGTCTACCATCCAACGCATGAAGGCAATATATAACCCCCCAAACCCCCAGCCACTAAGAGTCTACGGAACAACGAAACATGCAACCAAGAGAGCAAGGAGAAATGCGTTTTTTGCATGCCAGTTGCCCCCTGGGCAAAATCACAAACCGTGACAATAATAAAACAACACTATGCCTAATCAATTGAAAGGAATAATTACTACCAGGCTGGTAGTAATAACGTATGTCCAACGCACCCTCCAAGACCTTAACCTCTCTTAAGAACACATCAGCTTCCACCATCCTCTTGATGTGTTCATTGCCGACCGATTCGAAGTCATAAATGCGTGGAGAGGGCTGTTTGGTAAAGCGGAACACATCACCAGGGGCCTCCGCCAGAGAAAAGCGCGATTTGGGGTGTAGAGACTCGCCTGCAGCAACGATAGCATCGGCAACAATGAGACAAGCAATAAAAACAGCACCACGGACAACAGCATCAACCAAACGACTAAGACTAGACCAAAGAAACAGCACCAGAAACAAAGACAGAACAGGAAAACCGGGCCGACTCTCTCCCACTGTTGTTGTTTTTCTCTGCTTGGTTATTCAGAGAGAGAAGAAACAGAGCTCCTACCGAGCAAGACAGCAGAAGTAAAGGAATGCATACAGCACCTTGTCCCACTCACGTGTTGGCTTGGCTGGATATCCACTTTTCAGTTCCTCCCGATACTTTGCAATGCCTTCATCCACTTCCTTCTGCCACTGATCCAGCTTTGCATCATCGGCCGTTACAGCTAAGCGCTGCGCGTAGTTGCGCACGGACAGATCATCCTGGTCCGGGCCTGCAGCGGAGGCCTCAACGCCAGAGCCGAACAGGGGTAGCCCTCCGGCTGTAACGCCTATGGCAGCAACTACCAAACACCTCCACCGCGTCACCATCTCTCCCAAGACAGCCAAGGATCGTTCTCCTACCACACGGTTGGAGCCCCTCTTCGGGAGGCTAGTTGCTGACAAGCACAGTACAAAACCCTCAATAGGAAGTCAAGGGCTGCGACAAGAAATTTGAAAGCCAACACACAGGTCTTCCCCAAATGTTGGAGTGGAAGAACACCACGCAATAAAAAGGGTGCCTCCGTCACCGTACGCGCTGCTGCAGCGGGCTACAGAGCGCAGAGAATTGGTGGGCAGATGATGAGTCCGTCTACCCGAGTGCAGAGCTCGTTATAAACCACTAAGGACAGGACGTGTCTGCGGAAGCAGCTGAATCAACCTCCTCGGTGGGCTAGCAATGTCGAGACAGCAGCCCGCCCCTCCTCCTAGTGGCGGGCGGCTGCAACAGTTGTTAGTTTGGAGGACTATTGAACTACTATTGAAGAAAAAGAAAACTGTTGAATCAGTCGCCTCAGAAACAAACTTGCCGTCCTTCCTGGACGCACGCTGAACAGTCGCAGAGGGGTCCGATGCAACTAGACCAGCCAGACAGGGCTCGTAAGTCCCTTGAAGGTGCAGCTAAATCCTCTAATACGTGCCACAAAAGACCTCGGCAACAAATATGAGCCCGTTATAAAGGAAAAGCCAAAAAGATACGCCCAGGGAGTCCTTAAAGCAACACCAACCCGCAAAACTGTCCATCGATCTAGGGGAAGTGGTGGTGGTGCTCGCTGGGGCTGAGCTCCATCGAGCGGCCACTCACCCTCAACTTAAGAGTTCCCACCTTTCCTTATGTCTTAAAATTCAGGATGTTGAATGTAATAAAGTGCCTATTTTTTAAAGCAATGTCACGTCAGCGGTTCCTGAGGGGTGCCACTGACCATTGGTTCCGGGTCCCAGCTTCGAACTCTACCAGTGGCAATTACGTCAGACTGCTTTGCCTTGCTTCCTTTTAAAGAGTGAGGCGAGTGTGTTGTTTCTCGTTCCAAAACAGTTGGTGTCTTATTACAATCCCCACTGATTTAATTGTGTTTGAAGCCCCACTCCTTCTCGTTCGAAACGATCAACAGACAACGATTGGCCGCAAGGCAGCACCACTGCATCAGTAGCTCTCATTTCCTCCTTAATACAGTCATAAAAGCGTTACAGGTTGTTTACGTGAACTAATTGTTCACATGAGTTATGTAGACGCCATCGAATGGACTCAGTGCGATGCGATCTCTGGAGTGCGTGCATGTTGGTAGACTGTCTGCTAGAGAGTGCCCTCTCATATGTTCTTTGCACCATCATTAGCAGCGGGTGCACATACAGATAAAGGAAACGGAAAAATGAGTTTCCTCAAGGGTTGTGCATGCGGGCATATCTCTAAGTTTCCCCCCAATACAAGGTATTGAATGCACCTTCGAAGAAGACAGGCCCTGTGGTCCATGGTCACTGGGCTGTAAATGTGGAGTTTATGTCAGTCCCAAGGCCGTCTTCTGGATGACACGGAGCTGCATGTTGAACGAGAGCTCAAGATAGACACGCGCCCATGACCGCTCTTAGTGGATGACTGCCCGCTGATCTGCAGCTTGACTGCAGTTCCAGTGTGCTCTGGAACTCGCATTGGTGCAGCTGAGGAGACAGGGTTAGCAGTTTGCTTTGTCACCGAACTTGCCCCGCCTCTATAGCTATAATCAGATAGCCGTTGTGCGCTTGCCGCTAACTTCTGTAGTCGCGCAATATCAACTTGCGGTATGGAGAGGTTAGGAGTTTGTTTGGAACTCTGCATGGGTCTGACGTTATCTCCCTCTCTTGAAAAATGCTGAAATTCTTGAATGCAAGGCTGTGCCACAAAGTGGTGATTGGCTCTATTGATGCCTGCTGCTGGAACACGTGTTTTCCCGAATGCTAGGTGTGATGCTTTGCTGCTGACACTCGAAGAACTGGAGTTCTTGCTTATGTGCAGCGGTTTAGGGGTGCAATTAGACATCAGAGAACTATTAAGCTTCAGCAACCCAGTTCCCCCTGGATTTGGACCTCTCGAGCTCTGCGGCTGACAAGACGGACCAGAAACGCAGGAAACTTCGCTGCTGGTCCTCTTCAGAACAGCCGAATGCGGAGGTCGGAGTTTTAAATTTTCTAGAGGGCATCTTGGGGAGGCGGTACGAACTGACTGAGGTGGAGCTGGAGCCAGCCGGCCAGTATTGCAGGCGCCCTTCGTTGCAAGGCCTCTGGGTGTATGGATTCGTGATGATGCACTGGAAACAGAACTGGCTCTTTTTGAGCCAACGCGGGGTGACTTTGCTGCAGTGGTTTCAAGTTCCTGCAGAAATTCTAACTAGTGTTTCGCAGAAGTAGGATTATGCGGTTAATTGAGCCTACCGCCAGGCGCTTTCGAAGCGACCAAACCTTTGCGCGTAGCCGCCGTATTAGCTCCTGTTTTCTTGTAGGTTCAGAGAATACACATTAAAAACGAATAGACAGAATTATACTTTACATCTTTATAAGCAGATAGCTGCCGCAGGATACACAGCTCGGTGGGTCCAGCACCCGACTCAAAGAAACCATCCATTGGAAAGGAAATATAGTTGAATATGAGGCGAATATATCCAGTTAATCCGCAGAAAACGTGGAAAAAATGGGGCAGATCGCCAAAAATGACGAGGCAGATCGCCCGTATTTCAGCAGAGCAACAAGAAAAAATTCGGTCACCGTCGAAAAGGAAGAAGGCATTAAGTGACGCACTCCAGTAGCCTTACGGGAAAAAAAATTGAGGTGTCTGTACACCTCACGGAGGTTTCTCAGTGACGAAAGCTGAAACCTGGTGATAGAAAGCTCTGTGGAGTGGTCATGGTATATTGAACGCCATGCTGATGCGCAAATCTAATTCATGTTTCCCCCGTTTTTGTGGTTTTTTGGCTTTTATCGTTTCCATATTTGCTTCTGAATAAAGCCAACTCAGTGTCACCAAATGCGATACCCCCCTTAGCCTCCCACAGGCCGTTCAAGGTGACCTTGAATCGCCTCCACCTACTAGTTGAGGTGTATTTGCAAGACTTCTGCATCCAACCTCCAAGCATCTAATCGTTTAGAACTAATTATGTTTAATGAACGACGCTGTATTCTTCTTGATGCTTCCCATTATACGCTCTCTCTCTACCTACTCACCTTGTGGCGACGGGGAGCTCGGGGCGGAGCCCTGGCACAATAAGTTCCGCGCAGCGTTAGATAATTAATGATGCTTTCCGCTCTAGTTGAATAGCCAATATAATTAATGAGAATTGCAAAACAAGAATAATACCTCTAAAACCATGGCTGCAGCTTTTTCCAGCGATGCCTTGCTGATGCTGCAACATTGCCCAGCTCTGATAACTGAACTGAACCGCATTCGTCAGCGGTGGAGATGGAAGGACCCGATGTGCAGCTCTCCCTCTTTGGAGGGTTTGGAACTGTCAGAAAAGCACTTAATGTGTTCCTTTTAAGCACAGCGTTCTGGAGAATCCATGTTTGTAGCTTTCTGCATGGCGTTCGTCACCCGTCAAAGTGGCATATCCAGTCTGCAAGACTGGCCTCCCTCTTATACGATATCGGCTTGTGCGCGAGGATACCTACTTGAAGATGTGGCGAATTCGGAAGAAATTAATGCCAGACACCCTTGTGGATGCCAACATCATGTCGGCACTCCCGGTTTTCTGTGAGAAAATCGTTTTCGTTGGAGACGCGAGATCGGGCAAGTCAAGTGTGATCGACAGGTGCATGCAGCAACAGGAGAGAGATCGCAGTCGCCATATTACTGCATATCAGGACCATCTCTCTACTTTCTTTGTTCCTAGGAAATAAGCACAGTGTATGCAGAACCTCCTAGAATCCTATACAGCTAGACAACTCCTCCAGTCAGCAAGATAGTTGTACCTGAGGCTAGAACACTGGAGCGTCATCTGCCAGTCTTCCTATGCAGAAAATTAAAAAGAGCTCACGGAAGGTCAAGCGTCAACGATAAGTGTACAGAATAGCGCATTATGTGTGTAGGGATTCTGCATGCATGTACCACCATACAACGCCATACAATCGGGATGTGTGCAGCTAGCCAACTATAGCCTTGCAGCTTGGCCATAGTTGTTGTTGCACTTTCTTTAGTATTTGACGACAAATGGCTATTTCGTAGCCTCGGAATGATGCAGCAGGTGCAGCAGGAACTCATAAGTATTTGAATGTTGCTTACATGTTGCATGCATGCATGCAGGTATATTCACAACAGTTTTAGCCCGGATCCCGACCCAACGTTATCGATGCGTCTCGGGACGAAGTCTTGGGCGGTCTCTGAGCCTTCTGCATGCGTGGTGAATGTGGAGTTGTGGGATACCCAAAGAGGTGTCCGTCTTATTATTTTATTCAAGACCCTTTCTATCAATAAATAGTTAAATATATCTATCAGCTAATAGATGAATATATCCTTATAGATAGGAATATTCCCTTTTAGTTCCCTAGACGTTTCCTTTAAGTAGAAAGAAGAACACAAACAGCAACCCGCAGATCCACTACTCTAATGCAGATAGCCTGTCTGCCTATGCGCTTACTGCAACTCCTGCTGCTTGTTCTAATATACACAACTGCTGTTGTTGGTGGTGGTGGTGCTGCTGCTGTTGCGTTTGTTGTTGCAGTTTGGTAAGAATCCAGCAGGGGAGGAGTTCTGGCGTGGTACTCGTGCAGTGGTAGTATGTGTAGATGGGCAGTCGTCCTCTTGTAGTAGTTCATCTCTTCGTTGGTTAACAGGAGATGCAATAAATGAATGTCGTAAATATGAGCCATCAGCAATAATATTTTTATTAGCAACTAAATCAGATACTTTATCAGAAAGAAGAGAAAATGATATACAAGATGAATTACAATCTTTTGTTGATCAAAGACTTTGTACTACTTGGGCACTTGTTTCTGCTAAAACTATGAAAGGTAATTCATTTATTTATTTTATTTATTTATTTTATTTATTTTATTTTTTTATGTCTATTCATATATTCATGTATACA